TGGACTTCAAAAAACACAACCAATTGAAGCTCTAGTGTGCCACAGAAATGTAAAAGGAAAACAGATTCCTTAAAACAATAAAACCAAACCTTTTTGGCTTGTTGAAGTGTATCCGGTGGTGGCACTGCCAAATAACGCGGCAGACGAAGTTGGAACCATTGGTGTTGGCAGAATTCAGCATGATGAGACTAGTAATTGTAAATTGGCAACATACCCATCTAAAACAAAGAGTAAAGTTTAACAACAAAGAAGAAACACAATTCAGAGATATTTCTTCTTTTCATTATTCTTCCATCTGTTCATTATTTTCCTGATAAATTATTTTATACAGGAAATCATATACTATAATGGACAACACCCAGTTTCATTCACTATATTACTAAGACACTAACTAACTTTGAAACTGATGATAAGATACAATTCACACACTACATATGATCCATGTTATTAAAATGGGTTAAAATTAAAAGCCAAATTAAGAATGAGGGATCATAAAACAAATTTTTTAAGACTATAAAAGGTCAGCAGCTGTAATACACTTTGAGCTACAAGCTATATCCGAAACAAGATCAGATCGCGCTCTTGCTATTGAGTTAGGTTATCTTCCCGAAATGCAGCGTATGATCCTAATGACCAGCTTGCACATCCTCTGTCTGTCCACTCTGTTGAGTGTCGCTACCAATGTTTTGATCTTTACTAATTGTATATAACTAGAATTTAAATTGAAATATTATACTTAATAGAGATAATTACGTAGTTATTGTAATTATTAAGACTGTATTATTTATAGAGGAATAGAAATGAAGAATGCATCAAGACAGAATTAGTTTTGACAACCCTAATCGAGATATCCATAGCAAAACACTCATATCTTTATCCATAATAATATTCACATCATGAGTCCTACTCAACAATTTTTTAAAAAAAATTTGTTTCAAATTAGTCACTCAATTTGTGATTGGAATTATATAATTTGAAATCTTTTATGTAAATGCTATTCTTAACTTTACAACATTTTTTATACCCAAATGCAGAACACTTAATTTATAGCCACAAAGATTTACCAATGACCATAATGAATGTTGAAAATTAAATGATGGCAAACATGAGAGATCGGTAACACTAAGACATGTGCTATTCCTAACACCATGAGGGATTTTTTATACCCAAATGCAGAACACTTAATTTATAGCCACAAAGATTTACCAATGACCATAATGAATGTTGAAAATTAAATGATGGCAAACATGAGAGATCGGTAACACTAAGACATGTCATGGCAGGCTATACAATTAACTTTCTTCCTAACACCATGAAGAGGGATCAATTAACTTTCTTCCTAACACCATGAGGAGGGATCAATTAACTTTCTTCCTAACACCATGAGGGATCAATTAACTTTCTTCCTAACACCATGAGGGATCAATTAACTTTCTTCCTAACACCATGAGGGATCAATTAACTTTCTTCCTAACACCATGAGGGATCATGTTACAATTTTTACTCCTGTCAACGGCCAAGGGATCATGTTACAATTTTTACTCCTGTCAACGGCCAACAGCCAACCAATTCGCAGCATTCCGGAGACCTGCAGGTGCCCGCATAAGGCCAAAACAATTTTGAGGATAGGCCAGAACAGACCGAAAGGGCAGTGTGAATAGGCCCGAACAAACCAGAAACACCAGACTTAACTGGCTGCTGAACACACCCACCATGACTATACTCTCCGAAACCAGACTGCGACAGAAAACGACGACTAAACCCCATATTTTAGTCCTATGAAGCACATTACACAAGATGCAGGATACAAAATTAAACAATACAATGGAACCACCTTTTCAGGGAGCAGTAATTGTGCTCAGCCAATCCTATTCCAAATCAATTCTTCACCAGAACCAGCACATTCTAAACTCAATACAAGTTTCAAACATGCATGAATTTTAAACCATATCATATGACTATGTCTGAGTAAAAAAAAACATCAAAATTTAAAACTTGATATAAAAATCTAACTATATTTAGATGAAAAAATGACAATTAAATACATATTCATAACTTGGTATTATTCAAAAATAAAGTCTAAAAACAAAATATTCTATATTTAAGAATCAAAACATGAGACGAAGTTGAGCAAAATCAGAGCAATTGTCTTTTTCTAATGATTGATTTGATGAAAGCATTGAGATCTTCATAGCATCAACATTCACATTATCACAACCTCTCAAATAGATCCCTTCCAAGTTTCTGCATTTTTCAACCACACGCATGACTCCCTTTTCCCCTTTTCCGTGACATATTTACAACCTGCTAGTGCTAGTTTCAAAAGTCCACAACAAGTCTTCGAGATGTCATAGAGTGTTTTATCATTAACCCTTGTACCAGACAAGTTCAACGTCTCTAGCCGATGAAGTACAGAGTTGATTTGAAGTTCTTTCATATTTTTACAGTCGGTCAAGTAGAGATGTCTAACCTTACAACATTTACTTAGAACTTGGCAAATACTTTTTTCAGATATATGAAAGCAACAAGTCAAATCAAGAAGTTGCAAATTGGGAAGAATGGAAGCAAGCAGTATGATAATATCATCGTTTATAAATAAATTGTGAGACAAATTTAGAAACTTTAATGGAGGGTTGACATGAAAATCTTTTAAAGTATAGGAATTTTCTAGACTTCGTCTCTCAATATAATGCATCTTGATTTCATCAAGTGAATGACAATTCTTAATGAATGCAAACAAAGTTGATTGTGTGAGTTTGAAACAGTAACTAAGATTTATAGATACCAAATCAGGAAGAAGCAAAGACAATTGGGAAAATTGATGATTGGTTAGAAAATTAACCCCTTGAAGACCCAAATGTTGTATCCAGTGACACTTGGATAATAAAGCATAAATCCCTTGGTAACTATATCCGGTACAACTTTCAAGAACAAAAGTCTTCAAAGGAAGAGCTTCTCTTGCGATAGAGTAAAGCAAATCATCAGAGATGCGTGAACTCAAAAACTTAAGAGAATTCAAACCCTTCAAACTGACGAAGGAAGCAATGTAATGTGAAGTAGTGGGGTTTGCATCCGACAGCATAATCCAGGAAATAGATAAAGATTTCAAAGTTGATCTGTCATGGAGAGCCAAAGCAGTGGCTGCATGGGAGGAGTCAAGATAACAAGAACCGAACGAGAGGTCAAGGGAATTAAGGCTGGAGAATCTATGGAAGAAACAAGGGAGATAAGAAAGATGTAGATGATCAATTTTCATAGAGAATATGAGACGGTTGGTGATGGAGAGAAATTGTTTAGAGACGAGAGATAGGGATTTGAAGTTGAGTTTTTTTATATCGTCGATGGGGTTGATGATGAATGTGAACACATGCTCCCAGCAATCATCTGGTAAGTAAAAATCAGATTTGATACAACTCTTTCTCTTCTTTTTCATAGATTCGAGGCAAGTTCTCTTCTTCTTCATCTTCATAATGTTGATGGAACAAGGAGCGGCACTCACAAATTTAAAGGGTAAAGATTTTAGGTTACCCTAATTTTTACACACTTAAAAACGAGTTCCGCTGCCACTAATTTTTCTGTTAATGGAGTAATAACCTCTCTAACTCACGTGCCAAACCCCCCTAAATTCTCTTTTATTTTATTTTTAATTATATTTTATATATTACAAATAATAAAATACAAATTAATTGTTGAACCATTTCAATAAATTATTTTATTATGTGGAATTCCCTTTTGAACAATTTCAATAAATTATTTCATTTTAATAATTGTTTCTGGAATTTCCTTTTCATTTGGTGTGTTAATTTACTTTAAAAAATATATTTTATTTTAATATTAAATTCAAATTACTTTAAAAATATTTGCAAAATAACTAAAATTATATTTCACTCCTTTCATAAATAAAAAATAGATCATTAAAATAATAACCAAATCAATATCAATATATATATATATAAACTTTCAATTCTTAACTATTAGATATTGGTTAGTGACAAATATTCAGATATGATTTCTCAAACTCAACCGAATGTTCAGATAGATATTGGTCCGCCGGATTATGTTCTCATTTTCTAATCATATTAAATGTTATACATGTATCATTTAACCGCCAGTATACATACAAGTTTGGCAATAGTAAATGAAAATTTATGTTTTTTTTGAAATATTCTCTTCTTTATGACTAAGCATAGCGACAAGAAATCTCTGACACGACTCATGATGTCAATTCCTAGTGTATTGAGAAAGTTAAGGGAGATATCGGAGATGCTTTGTAAGTCCAGCATAAAGAAATCAATTTCCCACCTAAAATCAGGCGTGTTGTCAAAGACGTTTTGCATGTCTAACTAAAACAATCAATTCCCCACCTAAAGTGATGGAGATCAATGTCTCCGACTAGAAATACCCTGAACATTCTATCATGAATCTTTCCAATAAGGGAAGATAGTTTTTTCTACGATACCAAAAGATCTCAATAAAAAAAGCGCATCCAACGATCATCCGCAAAGAAAGGCGATCAAATAGTTGGTTCATTATTTTTCTATGACAGCTTATAAAGGATTAGAGATACTATGACAGATAAATGTTATTATTTCCACACTGAAATATAAGCCAATACACAATATTACAAATTTACAAGGTTTTGAACTGAATAGACGACACTCCTAAAATCTCCTCATATTTTCTAGCTTTATCATTATCTAATTACAAACACAGATCTCATTGACAGACTTTGGTATTCAATTGCTATTATCAGATTGAATAATCTGTATTGTTGGCATGTGAGGATCAGCTCCACTGTGTAGAAAAAATGCAGGCTGCTTAGGTATTGGTAGAGTAACAGTCTGACTTTCAAGCATGAGCACTATTGTTGCCATTGTAGGTCTATCGCCTGGATCTTCTTGGACACATAATAAACCAATATGGATGCATCTTATAGATTCATTTGGAGTATAGGATTCTCTTATTGTATGGTCCACCAATTCCAAAAGTGTTCCATTCTTCTAAAGTTTCCAAGCCTGTTTCAAGTTTTCATCACGCACTTGTTATATATGATCACTAATCACTATACAGTAAGAAAGAACAAATAAAACTCAAATAAGATTTACACTTTTCTCTACTCACATAGTTCACTAAATCCTCAGCAAATCCTGTTTCATAGAAAGAGATGTTCTTCTTGCCACTTATAATCTCCATAATGAGAACTCTAAAACTATATACATCAGACTTAATAGAGAAATCTCTAATGCATTGCATACTCTAGAGACATGTAACCACTGAAACACAGACACATTTTACCATCAATTTTAGGATCCTGGAAGCATGATGGTGCTCTTTTATTTTTGTTTGAATTGAACTATATTCAATTATTTATCACTGTTATGTTGTTTATAAGTGTTTTCATTAATATATATATATATATATATATATATATATATATATATATATATATATATATATATATATATATATATATATATATATATATATATATATATATATATATATATATATATATATATATATATATATATATATATATGCTGCAAGAATGATAATGGAAACTTGTACTTACTATGTCCCGACTATCCTACTGGTATTTCCTTGAGTTTGATCCACTCCAAATAATTTTGCCATGCCAAAATCAGAGATTTTTGGATTCATATCTCCATCTAACAAAATGTTGCTAGCTTTGAGATCACGGTGAATAATTTTAAGCCTGGAATCTTCATGAAGATATTGAATACCCCGAGCAATCCCTCCAATAATCTTGTAACGCTTTGTCCAATACAACAACCTTTGTTTTTCAGGATCTGCACAAATAATCCATTCATAAGATTATTGTCTCCAATAAAAGTAAATCAGTCTAATGAAACAAAAATTCATCAAAGAATTCTCTTTTTTACAGATTTTCTCAAATTTTGTGTTATTACTAATGATCGAGATAAACTCGGGCAAACTAAAATCAATGCATGCATATAAACTGCGAACTATAAAGAACTCAGATAAGATAAGCCTACCAAAAAGAATATAGTCAAGACTTTTGTTGGCTACAAATTCATAAACAAGTATCTTTTCTTCTCTTTCCAAGCAAAATCCAAGAAGCCTAGCTAAATTTCTATGTTGAAGCTGTGCAACCAGTTCAACTTAGTTCTTAAATTGTTTTCCACCTTGTCCCGAGTGTTTAGACAGTCTCTTGACAGCAATCTGTTGCCCACTCGGAAGCACGCCCTGAAATTTCACAAAAAATTAAACGGAATATAATACAACAATTGGTATAACTTTCATGCTTGAAGAAACAAAAGCATGTTAACTTCATATACCATGTAAACCTCGCCAAAACCACCTTCACCTAGCTTATTAGAATCTGAGAATTTGTTTGTAGCTTCTTCAAGTGTACTCAACTCAAATCTCAAGCATTCCACAGCGGTAATATCGGTTTCAGCTAAGAAGCAAAAATTATAAGTCTATCAGATTGTTATAACTTACAATCGCAGATTATGCAATTATGAAACAAATTAAAAGTTTTTCTATTCAATTAACTCACACCCTTACTTTTCGGATCCCCTGCTGCAGCAGAGTCATGCTTCTTCTTCCTCCCTCTTATACATAAGAAACAAATTCCTACGATAAATAGCAGCGCGACAACTGTAATTGGAACCACAATTGCAACAATTGTCCATGGTGAGATCCCACTACCACCTGCAAAATTCCAAAATGAAGTGATCAAACTCTTGCCGGTTGCCACAAAGCTTGCACATATTCTGTTAAAGATTATCATTCAAAACTTAATAGTAGTTGTTAGAAATTAATCAAAATTACCTCCCGAATTAGAAGTGTTTGTTGAAGGAACAATCCCTGGTGGTGCTGAAGACGCCGGTGGGGTTGAAGGCGGTGGTGAGGGAGTAGTGTTATAAAAAGGGTACAATTCATATCTAATATTACAGCTAGGAAATAAAACTCTTCCTCCTTGTAGTCCTCTTTGGTTACTTCTTTAGGATTACGAAGCTGCGCAAATAGAATAATGTGTAAATCTTCATCTTATGTAACCAACTTCCACTTTAAGCACAAATCATGCAGTTGGAAATTATAAACTGAAACAGAAACAATAAAACTTCTAAAGAAAGAAAAATCAATTGTAACGGTGCCGTATTATTCATGCTACAGGTTGCTAACATGATCATTCACATCACTTGTAGCATCATATCAAACTCCAAAAATTAATTATAATAAAACACAAACAATACCATTAGAATGAAGTTGAAACAAATGACTTCCTTGTGATTTTGACACTGTATCGCAGCAAGTATCACAAACAATATTCGGAGAAAATCGACTCTCAAAGCAACATACATGATACCACCGATATTAATCGTAACAATGCAAAGCTGCAACGTTTCGCCAAAACACAATTGCGATGAACAGGTCTCAAAGAAAATAGCTAAAATTTGAACGCAATACCAAACAACACTTGAAATTATCACCGTTAAGCGTCGATGCCGTAACATTCATTAACATGATGGAACAGAACTTGAAATCCAAAAGCAGGGCAGCATACAAAGTGCAGATCAATCATAACAGATAATAGTAACATAACTATACGGATAACGCTAAGACTTCTGAATCTCGACCATACGCTAATTATCTCTATGCTAACAAATTCCACACAAAGCTACAAGCATGCTGCACAAATTTCAGCATACCAAGACTTCATATAGCTTGCAAGTTAGTTACAAAGAGTTGGTCATAAACTTATAACATGAATAAGAACAATGTGAACCGCACGCTCACGACACACTCCAAACCAAAACATGTAGATTTCATAACTTCAATACACATAAGAATCACCAACAACTTAAATATACCACAAAGTTTAACTCTGAATCTCTTATCACGACCAAACGTAGCTAACAATCAAAGCATGTGAACAAGGAAGAAAAGTTGGAAATCTCATAACAGTCAAAACTGTGATTACAAAGATAAATTTAGAGCAGTAACACTTAGGAAAAAGAGAAATGATAATATCATATTCATCAAGATATTGGAATACAAAATACACATAATAAACCACCCCTTGTATCAATATTGAGCTCCACTTCTCCATGTTGAGTCCAAATCCAATAGTCTGGTTGAAATCCATCTCGATATAAGTGAAGTCTTACATTAGTTGTTGTACTTATCTTACAACACTTGCCATTTATGCACAGACACCTTATCCCTCCCTCAGATTTACAAATGGGTTGATTCAAAGCCTTCTTCACAAACTTTTTAACCCCACGAACAAACTCATCTTTCAATCCGTGTCTATCGGAATATGCTCTATTATACATCCAAATACGATCCATTTTCTATATAGCAAACAATTAACATGTGAGTCACTAAACATTTTCTATATCACAAATAATCGAGTAAGATAACCTTAAAAGGGCCCAAGAAGGAACATATATGAAATCCATCGTGTTAAACTTACTAAGTCTAGAAAACTTAACTTGTTGTTGTAGGAATTAAACAAAGAATTACATAAAAATGAGAAATAAAACAAAGTAAATAATGATAAGGAGTGCAACCCTTCTGGCATGCCGCCATATCTATATGGTTACATTTTCACCAACGATAAGGATGTAGTTGATTATGTCCCTGTCATGGCTCCTCTGGTTTGTATATATGTTATAATGAACAGCGTACAATGTGTTCTCGCAGGTAAAATCCTTTATAGGCATAACTAACTTGTAACTACCTTTAACAGTATTCAACTAATTCTGACATGATATTCTGTTTTACTATTCTCCTTATTATTATTATATTAAGTCAGGGATTGCTAGAGGTTGTGGATGGCAACACTTAGGAGTTTATGTTAATTGAGAGGCCTACTACCTCTGCGGGATTCCCGTTGCTGCTGCATTGGCATTTTGGGTTCAAACGGGAGAAAAAGGACTTTGGATTGGTATACAAGTTGGTTCTTTTGTTCAGTGTGGTCTTCTTCCTATCATAACAAGTTGTATAAATTGGGAGTAACTAGTATGTCATTTAACTTTTGTCTTGAAACTATAAATTTCAAGTTTTTTGTTCCTGCTTCTCAATTTTAAAACAATAGCATATAGTAGAAAATTTGGATAAAAAATGATGTTATAATGATCATGAGGTAGTATTCTTTTAAGTATTAATTTCATTTTTATGGTTTTACTAATGCAGGCAATGAAGACTAGACATAGGTTATTTGATGTTCAATTTTCAGCAGAGAATAAATTGGTATGATATGAGTTGTTACAGAGACAATTCTTCACTTTATTGAAAGTTTCAAACTAAAGCTTATGATATCTTATACTAAATGGATAAACTATAGTATATATGAGCATATATGCCTTGCTGTAAATGAATCTCAGTTGAGCAATATATCAGTTTTACTAGTACTGTGGTGCAATGAATTACAATTGCAATGAGAATGTTAGTATTCGATGCTTTTGCACCCTCCAACGCAACCGAGATCATGGAATTAGCGACAAAGTTAGCCTCTGAGAATTCAAACACAGAAGAAAACCCCCCCTCTGCACTTGTCAGAAGTGAAAAACCAAAATCAAAGGAATCTCAAATCCCTCGTACCAACACTACTGCCTTAGAAAAATCTAAACCAGAAAACCAAACCAATTGTTCCAAACTAGACTTCTGTTCAACCAAGCATTCAGCCGAGGACTTCAAATCCAGCGCATTCTGGCCGGTGGCAAGAAACACAAGCAAAACTGAATCAAGCCTTTTTTGCAACATTCAGCCTGACTTTGTAGGGTATATTGCTATCCTATTAGTCCTAACTCTACCACAGCAGCATACAGGTTCAAAAAAAAAAACTGGTTTGTGCTTGTCAATAGAGCAATTCTTGCAACCAGTGCATATAAAATCTTAAATAGTGATGAGAGATCCAACCATTCATTTTCCAATTTATAATATAAGGATCAACCATTCATTTCCCAATTTAATGATTTTTGATATCTCAGGCAATAACTTTAGTGGCCTACTTCCAAAAGAATCATTTAAAAAGTTTGAAGCCATGAAAGATGTGGATGCAAGTTTTTCATATATGGTAGAGGCATTGAATTTTTATAGTCAGCTTAGTATTATATGGTACTACTATTCTGTCACTGAGGATAAAAGGGATCAATTCCACATTGGTCAAAATTTCAACCAACTTTGCAACTATTGAT